AAAATTTGCGCCCGCCTGCCCCAGCCTCACTATAAATCAGTTGAAATTTGTTATGCGCGGCACGCAGATGGTTTTGTTATATGAAAATATGTGCCGCGTAGGGATGGTATAAGTATCCCTCGGTAAAACACATCCCTTATACCCCACACCACCGTCCCCGGTCGTCTCGCCCCGCTCCTTACCCCAGACAGGCCCGAGGCGTCATGCTGTTCTGCGCTCTCTTTAATTACACCCCGAAACCAGGACGCGTGACGTATTGCCGTATGCCGAAAGGGACAAAAACGGCAACCTCTACTTCGGACCTGGCCCATTGATCCACGACTGGTAGGCTAATCGAACCGAAAGAACCTTAACTGCACCTCGGGTGAAAGAATGTGTCTCACGACGCGCGGTGGTCATCAGTGACCGGCGGTCCAAACTTGCAATATTTCTTTAAACCAGTGTTGAACCGGATAATAGAGCAGTTATTAGAAACGTGACCAAAACGTCCATCTGGAGTTAGTTTTATCCACACAAAACGAGTGGAGCAGTTCAGAAGGAACGTCACTGGAATTGCGTTAGCTGCTGTAGGAACACTTAAAAGTTGAAAAAATACGGGACCATATTTCCCACTTAGAGCGTCTCGGAAAACTCGACGGAACAAGACAACGATGTAAGGTGTTTCTCGCTGAGGAACAGGGTCCAGCGATGGAAGAGCCACTTAAAGCGTTGGTCCCGGCAGCGTTAAATATTTGATCGGAATTCGATTGGTTTAAGACGTCAGTCTGCGAAGGGGCACGCTCGTCCAAAAAAAAAAAAAGGCAAGAGGAGGAAGAAACGGGCAGAGAGAGCGAAGTGGTTGACGTAAGGGCGGATAGTTAGCGAAGGGACGGAGTATTCCCTTGGAGCCTAGAGTCGAAGCGATGTCCAACTGGGCAGCTGTCCCAGTCGCAGCGGTTCGTCCTCTGCTCTCGCACTAATGCCACGACACGAGTACGCTTTAAAATCTTCCCTCGGCCCCTGCCATGAAAGCGGCTCGACGGAGAATAGAGGCGGAATCGCAGAATCCCCTTGGAAATAAAGCCAATTCGTTAGGTTTCCCTGACAGGAATCATGTCCAGTAGAATGCCACCGTCGATGGTCGGACAATGGCTCCCACTACTCCCGGTTTGTTAAATAAGAGTTCTCGACGCGAGCTCATGATTCCCAATCCCCTGATTTCGGGAATCTCCCGATTATGCTTGACACTTTTCCAATTTACTTTTACGATTATTTAAATTAAGGAATGTTACAAAATTATATTCGAATCGATCGAGTAATTTTTAGTATATACAAAAGAAATCCTTCGAAAAGTACACGTACGTGTTAATATGCTCGAAAAGGTTGCAGAAATAAATTTGTGACTAACTTGATCGTCCGAATCGACTGCTATTCTGCGACTTTGATCTGTTACGAACCGCTGGAAATTGTTCGGTACCCCAGCACCCTAGTACTTCCACCCGGTGTCTAAGAAAGCCGAGGGTAACAGGAAGAGTCTGAGCCGCAAAACTCGCGCGAATCCACGTGGTGCCAAGTGGGGTGCATTAGCCAAGTTCCCCATTATCCACGCGTGAGAGACCCCTAAATTATCCGGCATTCGCCTAGCGCCGCCCTCCCCCACCCTTGAACGTCGGCGAGAAAAAGATGTACGAGTTCCTTTCGCGAGAACACCCTCGCCCCTGGGTGTTCAGCCAGAACAGGAGTGACGAAAATGATTCTGATTTAGTTAGACATTATCCAGAAACAACCTTCAGGTAGTTGATACTTGATTTAATTAAATAGAGAGTAACGATGTTCAGAATGAAACCCACGCTTGCTTGGACTAACGAAGGGGTTCAATTGCTAGTTGGAAGCAGATCGATGAACATCTGTGACGGATATCAATGTCAATATTTCACGAGTGCAGTTATTTTGGCACAAATCCGTCAACAGAGGCTTAATCTCCAATAGGACCGCTAAGAGTGCCGTGATCCGTCGGTGGTTTATCTAATTGGAATTGTCGAGGGCTCGAAGAAGGACGCCAGGGCCATCCAGAAGCAACGAGGAAAGATGAGAAGCGCGAGAGAGAGATCGAGGATCGGGGAGAGAAACCAGGGGAAAGAGCGAGATGGAGGGTACCTAAAGAACCATCGGTATGGCGGGGGAGGGGAGGGGAGGGGAGGGAGGGAGGGGGGGTGTAAGTTTGGGCTATCTCTAAGAGCACAGTTCCAAGGAGGCTGCTTTAGACTCTAGTGACGTGACGTCGCCTAATACTCTAATCCCTTCAGAAGAGACTCCATCGTCCGCAATGCAGCCTCGTGTTCCTGGGTAACCATCTCCTCCGCTACGAACGACACTTGCTAATTAATTGACGAGTACGGATTTTGAGGTGTCGAGATCTTCGTGTCTGTCGAGAGGGAAGGCAGACTGTTATCTGTCGTCGCAGACCCAACAGCAACGCGACGGATCAAAACGCTTCACGCTACTCGAGTTCCATATTTCTGGATAGTTTCAACATCCGCCTTAGGTCTTGGGCCGATCCAATATTTTTCGCCTGCGGATACACATTTTCTGTTGGTGGAGGAGGTAAAGTAAACTGTATTTACACGTTATTAACGATATAATAGAGCGATTCATTTATCGCGATAATAATGACACAGTGGATAGCACAAAACTGGGGACAAAACGATCTTACCATTCTCAGCCTCCCTGCATGCCAGTAGACAATATGCACCGTGTACATGACCATACGCCAAGATTTTCACTAACAATGTTACACGCATTCCCGTATTTGCAACGAGATGAAAGAACGAAGCACATCAGTGGTTCATCCAGAGACTTTAACAGCAGACGCGACACATTCGGTACGAAAACGAAACTAATCTTTTCGCGATACGTCGACGAACGCAGGCACTCGGGCCTCGAGAAGGGCTGCTTTCTAATTATTCCCCACAGGCCATAAGGGATGACACGTAATTGGAGGGTGGACGAGGAAGCATTGATCCCTAACTGGAAGGGATTCAAGCTGTTCCTTGCCCCGCTCCCGTATCTCTCTTTCTCTCGTTCTCGAACTCGGAGCTGGACCAATGAGCATCGGCCAGCCGAAGAAAAGTGATAATGTCTTAAGCCGTCGGCGCGATTTAACTTCCGATTTTAGTTTCGTGGAGGGGGCGGGGGGGGGGCACATTCTCTTCCCAGCGGTCCTTTCTAGGAGTTCGTTGCTCTAAACTCCGAGATTTCGCGGTCTGAGGAGGGTTTAGGGTTTAAGGAAAGCCCACTCGCTCCCCGCGATCCTTGGAAGCTTCGCTAAGCGCTGACGCTGATCCTGCTCTTCTTCTTCTTCCTGTACCACCTCTTGGAACCAGGGTTTATCTAATTCGAGTTGTAGGTTCCTCGCTATCGCTCTAAACCGTACGAGCGAACCGATCGCGGAGTCCGGCGATTGAAAATATTCCCTACCATCGATCGAGGCGAGCGAACAGTCGAAATCACGTTACGGGATCGAAATCGCCACACGTCATCCAAAGTTAATCCGAACTCAACCGGTGCAACGTCTCACAACGAACTTTCCAAGATAAATATACCAGGGGAAGCATTGCGGAGATAATTAAACATTTAGCGAACCGGCGTGCATAAATTTCTTAACCGATGTACTTGGAGAGGTTTGAATCGAAACGCAGAGAAAACCTAGATAACTTGGTATCGTTGAAGATTGTCACGCAGCTATTTTGAACCTGGGTATACCAAGACAAGAGTCGCGGAACGTATTTCTGTCGACGTGAATCGGAATAGAAGCTTCTGTAACAAAAGCTTCACGAGTCCTCGCGTTTATGCTCGCTGTTTTAGCGTAATCAAAAGGTAAACAGACTCGATAGTCGCAGAGCTGCGTTTTCGCTGTTAATTCTAATTTAATCGGACGTTTGCTCGTTACGCGAGGCTCTCGATTGGATAAAGGACAGCGAAAAAGGATGGTCTCCGTTGCGAGGAACCGGAGCTGCCTGGACTCTTACGGCAGCGAGAAGAACCAGGTAGCACAGGTAGAGGGTCGAGGCGAAACGGGGCGGTGGAAGTTGAGAAGTGGGCGAATGTAAGCGACGGAGGTGTACGGCGCACGTATCCCAACACACTGGACGGCTCGGTGTGCATCCAGGGGTCGTGTTCCATTCTCTGCTATCGCAGGGGGTGGCGAGGTGAGCAAGGGGATGTGCTGTGAGGCCGGGAATCGCGTTCCAGCTAAGCTGAAAGGGGTGGACAGTGCGCAGAACCCGCCCCCACTTTTCGCGGCGAAGCAGAAGGCTGACGGTTGCCCGCGCAAGCCTTCATCCCCTCCGTGTGGTCCGGAAGATCGCCACCCTCGAACGAACTTAAACATAGCACAGTAGCTCGCGAGCACCCCGTCTGGAAGGGCTCACCGCGCACCAGTGCTACGCAAATAGTCCGTTTCGTGCGTATCAGTGGCACGTCGAGCACGCGTGACTGGTGTGCGAGCACACGCGTGCGCGTGCGTGTGCGTGTCGCGTAGTACGCGCGCATACGTGTACCCGAGAATTGTCGAATTGTACCTAGGAGAAAAGTCCACGGACGCGGCGGTGGTGTTCGAATCGAAGGAGAAAACGCTGGCAGTTGTTCATCTGGAGATTGGAACGTCTCGACTGGATGGAACGGGTCCCAAGATCCGGGGCGATGGCCCTCGACGGCCCCCGACAGCTTTCAGGTGAAGTTTCTTGAGAGACCAGTACCTTTAGCCTTTCGATACGGTGTTAAAGTATATTTCAAAACGAAACAAAAAAAAAAAAAAATTGAGAAGAACGGCGTGTGAAATCGTTTGGAACCGAGAGAACCCGATCCCGAGGTTGCGAGAGTTGCTATCGCGTTAGGATCGCGCCGACCTTGAGCAACGACATTGCACTCATAAATCAAACAAAAAAAAAAAAACTCACTGCGCATCCATGCATCCGACAAGAGAGCAGATTTCCTGATCCTCTGGAATTTTTGTGTTCCAGGGTGGAACTGACCAGCGTGCCGGGTGGCCAGAATGCGATGGCTCATCTCAAAAAACGTAAGCTGGAAGCAGAATCTGTCAACCCGAATCCTAAGCAACCGCAGCAGCAACAACAGCAACAGCAGCCGTTTCAGCAACAGCAACCGTTGATCAACAGGAAGGGTGCACAAGCGACCATTCCACAAGAAATGGAGACAGCTGATGCTGCTGCCAAACGAAGGAGGAAAAGTGTACGGGACGACGAGACGCGAAAGTCGTTGGACGCGAACGATTTGAGCAAGACCATACCGTTGCCGCAAAAGAAACGAGCGTTCGCGGCTGGCAATTGTGGCAGCCCCGCGCGAAAGTCCAGCAAGCATTCGGAGGAGCCCGAAGACGACGAGACTCTCATCAGGGAGACCGAGGCAGCGTTGAAAAGTTTGTCGGGAAGCTGGCCTGGGCCCCGAGGATCCCTTTATCAGAGAGGTAATTCGGACGAGGACAAGTACGAATCGAATTTCGAGAATCTGTTCGAAGAGAAGAAGGAGAATCCGAAGCTGTCGCCGTCGTCGATGTCCAACTCCTCGACCGCGAGCAACGAGGCTGGGTGCTCGTTGAAAGATGTGATAACGTTCCGCGGTCAACAAGACAGAAACAGCAAAACTCAGCAACAGCTGAGACAGTTGGACTCCGGCAAGCAACAATTGCACCCTGCCAAAGTTAAGAAAGATCTCGAACATTTCCTTAAATCGGAACACGACAGCGTCGGCGTTCACAGCCAAGTAAACAATTCAAATCCCAACGAGCCGGGTAAGATCAGACCAGTGCCGGTGAGGTCTTTGTCGAGCAAGGATCGAAACGACAGGAACATGGTCGGCGCGCACGTGGACCCTCAAGGTCGCCAAAGCGACAAGTATTCCAGATACGATCCGCCAGACTTCAACGAATTGGTAGACGATTCGTCGAACGAGCTGGAGATCGACATGTCGGATCCAGCCACCGAGAAAGACGACGTGGACAGGGACAAGATGAATGACAGGGACAGGGATCGGACATGCAGGAACGGTCAATCGCCGCAGAACGCCGCGAGACACCAGCAACACCAGCAACACCAACTATACGCGAACTACCATAGACAGTACAGTGAAAACAATATGAAGGTTCTGCCAACGGCGACCACGACCTCTTCCACGTCATCGCCGCCCTCGAATTCCCCGTTCTCGGCGACCTCGGCGTTTAGACCACCCAACACAGACCACGCGAAGGGAACTGGTCGAGGTACACCGTCAGTGGCCGTTCCATCCGCGTCGATTCCACCTATCGGCCCGTATCCAGCATCGGCCACGTTCGTTGGTTACCCGACCCCTGGTCCAGGACCCACGATGCCCACCCCGCAACCTGTTACGGGGATCGCGCCCACCACGGAGGACAAGCATCCCTCCACGGTTTCGTTGCTTCAGCTGAAATCGTCGAAAGAGGAGACCCACCACGTGACCAGGCACGAGGTGACACCGAATCCCGTGACCAGCAGCAAGAGTCCAACCGGTGGTCTGTCAGCGGTGACCAGTCCCGACTCGTCGAAACAGTACACGATTCTTCAGCCAGCTGGAGTTGGTTCTCGAGCTGCCAGTGCCCTCCAGGACATAGCTAGAGAAGGGGTAGTCAGTGTCACGGCCGTGAGCAGTTGCACCACCGCGAACGGAAACTCGACGAACGGTAGCAGCGGGAATAACGCTGGGAACTGTGGCAGCAACGTTCCCAGCAAAACGACGAACAGCAACAGTGGTGGTAACACGAGCAACAACGCTAACACAACCGCGAACGGAAGCAACGTGGCTAGCATCACCATTACCGCCGTGTCCACCACTACGACGACGTCCAGTCCCACGACCGGCGGCGACGTGTCGTCCGGAAGTGGAACAGGTCAGCAAGAGAATGTCATGAAAATGCCGGAGAGGTCCGGAGGGACGTTCGACGGGAGCAGGCCAGGAATGTCCATGTCTCCGTCCAGTCTCGGCAGAGGTGAGAATTCCAATGTCTTATCCGTACGAGTCCTGACGGCTGTGGAATGTAAACTATCCCTGTGTTTAGTATCCGAGGGATTCTTAGCTTTCAGGGCTGTTCGAAATGATTCCGCGATCGAGCCGCGATTATTTTCGACTCGCGTGCCCCGTCGAGACTTTAACGACAGCACGGCGATTTAAATCGGGTTTCGAAGGGCTGGATGCGAGCACAGAGGCGCATAAGAAATTTGTGATATCGATAAGGTCGATGCTCGTAGTGGTAGGGTTAGCGTTTGTGTGTTATCCCCTGCAAAAGGGGGACAAAAGGCATTTTCGACTCTCCCGCGTTTCGTACTCTTCTATCTCTCGCCCCCGCGGGCTCTCTCTTACTTTCTCTATGAAGTTAGGGCAGTTAGGGTAGCGCGGAAAATCAATAATTACGAAGCGAGGGGCGATGACTCAAATGGTGAAATCAAGGTCTCTCAAAGTAAAGTTATTCTCCATATCCTCCGCTACAGGCACTTTGTCTTCGTCTTTGACGCGACTCTGGAAACTATTCGCTTGATCGTGGAACGTCGTGATGATTGTAAAGGCACGTGACGCGGAGGAACTGGGGATAGTTAGATTTATTCGAGCACGTAGGGATTGTAGTAGTTTAGAAGCGAAGAATTTTTAGAGATTTGAAGATTCATTCGTCGATTTAGGAAGAATCTGACTCGGATAAAATGTTAAAATGCAGGAATCATTAACTCGAATCTGGAATACATACGTATTCCTTTAAATATCAAAACTAAATTTTATAATTTAGTGGTAGATAATTGAATACGCTGTAACAAACAATGAATAATTCTTCGATGTGAAGGATCCTTAAATATCAAAAGATTTTCCCAATTTTGAATCCGTTGCGCGTAGACGCAGTCTTGTGATTCAGAATTTAGCAAATATCTTGTATATGGAAACGAGACACCCTAACGGTTCCTGTAGCAAGGGATCAGAGAAAAATCCTTATACACCTGGAGGCAAGGTACCGCGCAGTGTGACAGGTGGGAGTTCGAGTGCATTCCGGGGTCTTAGGGCAGCGATGACACGATGTGCCTAGGCGGGGAAATTTGGGGTTGATACCACGTCATACGTATAAGCCGCAGCTGTCAGCAGCTAGAAACGTGACTAGCATCCCAGCCACACCACGCTACCTTATTACCACCGTGCGGCTCTGCTGCCTGTCCTCATTATCCCCTTAGCGTTTTCTCCGCCAGAACCTGCGGAGATGAACATTCCTGAAGCGAATTGCCGCGGATAGACGTAGAGGGAGAATTTCTAACGGTCTTCCTCGATAATCTTCGACCACCGAGTTACATTTTCAAGCGTTTTCCCAGAGATAGAATCTGAACTCGGTGTCGTTTAACAGCATCCAGGGATTGTATATTAGAGATTCCTTTGTATCTGAGTTTGGTATTGATGAAAACGAAAAAAATAGTTACAACATGATCGTGTTTCAAATTTTATCAATCGCGAAATAGGACCAAAATGAAAATATGAGAAACTTAAATATCGCGAGCAAACCTCAAAACAATAATTTTTTAACTTGAACCTCGCATGCTTAAAGCATCTGTATACATAAAAAAATATTAGTAACCAGGAGGAAAGAAAAACTTGCACAAACAAAGCCCTCCATCGGTGTACGGTGAAATTTATTTTCCAGCAATTTCAGAGTCACACTGTCAATCTCTCGCGGGGCGCTCGATCATTAAAAGATCACGAGTGCGCGATAGGGCCGAGTTAATCCAGCAGCGCGGAAATCTCGGCGAATAAACGCAGGGCCGTGATAAGTGGGCACGATTAATCGCATACTTACAAGCGTGACGGCGGTACAGGCGTGCCGGACCCTGGTACTCGTGGTAGAGTTTTAATCGCAGGGGTTTCTCGTTCGCGCCGGTCGGCTCACCCGATCCTTTCGATTTAGCGAGCGGCTCGCGTGAGCCGCGTGCCCTTTTTCATTTTTCTTCCTGCTTCTTCGGCAGTATTTTTGTTTCTCACTCCCATTGGACGCGCGCGCCCGCGTGGGAGCGTGTTGACACGCCATAAAACCGCTATCGGGAAATCCGTCGGCCGCAAACACCACCCTTTCCGCGTTGAAACCGCGCGGCAGGCAGGGTTGGCCTGGCTAATAAAAAAATAAACTGCCCTGTAACTCAATTTTACGCTGCCTTTGCGGCCGCACGCATAAAAAGGACCTTTACTCGCGCGCAGGGGCTCTACCCTCGCGTTAAGGGCGCGCGTCGCCGTGTGTAAATACATACCTCGCGATTGTTCCCCGAGCTGCTTGCTTTTTTTTTTAGATTCCTTTCGTCTTCCGCTCAAGGCGAAACGTAACGTCTTGATCGACCGCGACGATCGCCATGGTCCGTCTCCCCTCGATCGCCGATGGTTGACTGGATCAGGACAAGAATAAATTCTGAAAAGAAAATATCGTTCATCGTATGGGGTATCTGTTACTGTGGTGGGGATGTTAACCCTTTAGAAATCAAATTTTGTTTAGCGCTGACAAAAATTGTAGGGTTGGATTATTGATAAATGGAGTATTTTAAAAGGAGTCCCTTAACATCCTAATGGACAATTATTATTAGAATATATAAAACGTCCTGGTCTATATTTAGCAAAGCCTAAAATTCCTATTATTCGGCTCTTCTCAGAAAGAGTTTGTCGACCTCCGCCCCAGACGACCCGACCTAACACGCTCCAAACGCTCGAAGCGTGTTGAACGGACTTGCAGGGATGCGATAGGGACAGCCTGGAGTCTCCTCAACACCCCTTTCCGCCCCTATAACCCTAACACACTTCACGTCGCGACAAGTCGTATAGACTGCAATAAAATGTAGGGTACGTTGACATGCATATTTGAAGAGCTCCTTAATCTCTTTAGCAGAGGTCCTCCCATTTCGAGTGCACAATTATTAAGTAACAAATATTAAGATTGCAAGACAAAGCAAACCTTTTAGCTGTAACGAAGACCGTTTATTAAGTTCACTATGATCTATCAGTGTGTGTGTATGTGAATAAAGGCTCTCGTAAAACCTACAGGGTCAAAGATGTTTCACTTGCATTTTTCTTCGAAGCGTAGAAAAAGGTATCGAAGGTCTCCAGTATCGGAGGATTAAAATAAGTACGCTGCTATTTACTCACTCCGGTGTATGAATATTGAAACTTGCTCATCGATTGCTCACGATTACACAAGGAGCTCCTATCATTGACGCGACTCGACCACAATTTTTTTAAGTGTTCCTTGAATTTTAATGCAGTAAAGTCATTTTTATTATTATTTTCGGATAATAGGATACGGATTTTCTTGAGATCGATCATTATGCACTCCAGGTGAGATAGTCTAAATGTCGCAACACCAAGCTCGCAAAAATCTGAATTTTTTTAAATAGTAAAATTCTAGCCCCGCGTACAATAATATCCTAAATAGTACGAATGGAAACCTTCGAATAGGACTTCGAAACGCGAAAGAGGAAAAAGAAACGCGGCACGCGTCGCTCGCGCAGCGAGCCGAATGAATAAAACAATCCGGGTGTTTATGTACACCTCTGGCCCTCCCGTGGTGACCCTCACGTGAAATGGCAACAAAATAACACAATTACACACTCGACCACGGCCTCACCCCTCGCCACTCATCCACGTTCTCGCCCCTCGGATCCGCTTTTTCCTCTTTTCCCTGTGACCCTCTCTCGCCCGTCGCAAACCCGTCACGGGTTCCCATAGGAAAAAAAGACGGGGATAGAGAGGTCGGCCAAAGCGGCAGGAGAAAGAGGAAAAAAAGGAGAGAGATCCGACCGACTCGTTACAAGTCTATTCAGAGATCCGGAAAGAACAGCGCGTGCCGGTATTCATTTTGTTGACCGGAACCATTATCTGCCCCTTCGCTCTCTTTCCTCTGTTCTGGCGTAGCTTAGGCGCCGGCCACCCGTTTTAAAACCTTACGGCTAATTTATTAATCCTGCCCGGCGGCCGACCGCTCTTGCTTGCCCTCGGTTACCCGCCTCGCTGCTCGTTTTTTAACCTTGCCGCTAATTAAAAAGCACCCGGAAACCCGGCGTTCCTCCGCGGACGTTCCTTGTTTCTTCATTAACGCCACTGTCGAAATCGGAGCGCTATTGGGTCATCTGCGGAAAGTTTGCAGCATTTTTTACTAGCTACATGGTAACGTTAACTTAATTTGAAGTCTAGGTACGTGCACCAAATTGTAACAGGGGTTGTAGGTAGTTTATAAAAATGAAATTTGTTGGATCTGTGGGTGGGTTATGAATACGGTACAGGGGAAGGTTTTGTTGGTAATGTATGTTTTCTTTAATTTAAAGCAGAGCTTGAGGAATACTACAGGTGGTTAATGCTCGTGTCAGTATTAAACGAGAAACATTGATGTTGTTAAGGTATAAGTTGTGAAACTCGTGGCAGGTTCGTTAATGCCGAACAAAAAGAATTGTTTTTATTTTATAAACACGTATTATACACACGGTGGGTATGAGAGTAAAATAACGCGTACAAAAAGTCTTCGTCGCTAATTCCAAATTTCGTCCAGCATCGTTTTTCCATTTTTCTTATTCACTAATACATCAACACATTAAACGTGACGAAAATACTGGGACCCCTATCACTGTCGTTTCTCCATCGACAGCGACCGAACGACTCCACCCCTCGTGTTTCTTCGGTTCGGCGAATAAAGTATGTCGCTAATGACGTCACGTATCGTAATCCAATTTACGGAAGGTGGACCAGCCTTAAGAGGAGGCGAGTATCTAAGCAGGGATCGGCTCGGGTCCCTCTCTCTTTCTGGAACGCGAAATGACGGCCTGATGAAGTTTCTCGGCATCATGGCGACCGTTTCGGGGTCGGGCGGTAGTTGGCTAGGAAGGATCAGGGCCAGAGGAGGATTAGTACACGACAAAGTTTATAAAAGTGCGCTCACTCCAAGGGAAACTTCACTCCCTTTCCTCGCGGCCAACCTAAAGCTTGGCCTCCCCTTCGTGCTCCTTCGACCTCCCTTTTTCTCGAACCCCTCCAACACACGTGACGAACGTACCTATGCGCTGTCCGAGCTTTTCGTGTTAAGAAACGTCGAATTGGCCTCGCCGAGGATGAAATGAGTTAATGCGTGAGATGAAGATCGTGATCCTGGCAAACTCGTCTGAACGGGATTAACGTCGCGAATCTGGACACTCGTCTAAACAGGCTCGACAATGGCGTCTACCTGTGGTATCGAGTTCTTCGATTTTGGTTCAGGTACTTTAGATAGCACAGCTTAATAATTAAAGCCTATAAATTTCGTTCATGTAACACAATTTTCAACATCAGTACATATTATAGTTCATATAACAGTCAGTTTATTACATTCTAACGATAGTACGTGTTCGTTAAGTGTCGACTGCCAGCAGCGAGAACTGCTCTAGGAAAGAACTCGTTACGTTTATCGCTGCGCCTGGCTATTAAAATTATAGTCTTTACTGGACACACGGTGTCGCCTGATCGCCATCGTACCGAGAAAGAACAGCTCGCGAAAACTTGTTAAAATCAACATCGCGCTGGAAGGGTCCTACAGCTAGATCGTCTCATCCCGAAGCGATTGGTACTTCTGGGCTACATACAGCGTGCTGGAAACCTGTAATTGTCTGGTCACGCGAGGTCACCCTGAGAACACGAACACGATTGTACGTGACGTGCACCAGCCATTACATTATGGCCAGACCACGACAGATGGTGCAGGTTGCTTGAGCATGTCCCCGATACGATTTCGTGACGGGCGCAAGAACGGTCAAAATTAGGGAGGTAAAGAATTGGGAAAAAAATATTTTTTTTATTATAGTATCGTCACATTCAAATTCAGTAGTTGATGCAGAGTTAAGCGTCCTGTGCAATTTTTGACACCTGCTACGTTGGCATTGGCAGACTGCTGATTTTATATATTTATGGCTCTGACGCTGGATTATATATGTAAACATGAAAAATAATATGGCGAACGTATTTAGACTACATAAAATATTAATATTTTATATAGTCTTATCTACGAGAGAAGACAGGTTCGTTTCTTGGTTCATAGAGAAGTTTAGGACGAACATGCCCGCAGTGTTAATCCTTCAGGCTTAGTTACGGGACAGAGAAATCCCAGTGGTTATTCGCAAATGCGTAACTCGTGCAACAGGATCCAAAGTGGTCACACACGGATATTTCAGTTCCTTAAACTGGCTCATCGGATTCAATTACCTTCAATTCAGAAATGTACAATTATCTACAATTAAATACACATGTAATTTCGAAAAATAAAAATGTAGACAAACTACGATACTGGATAATATTCAATGAAACACATGCAACGAGGACGACGTATTCTTCGTCGCTTGAGAAAATGATTGAACAACGTATAAAGCCAGTTATCTAACCAGCACTTGTTTCTTCGAAGTTTACAAGAAATAGTAACGAGACGTTCTGTAAACATGTTTTCGAGATCAGGCAATAAACGTCTAGTTTATTTGCTTGTAGGTTCAACGGTCTGAGGAAGGAATATAAAGTATACATGAATATTGACAAACCAGAAATACAACGCATTCTCCGACGGTGTAGCGAGCGAAACTACACCACGATGTCGGACATAGCAGTTGTCATCCATTCGATAGGTAATTTTCATTCAATTCCACGTGCTGCCACGGTTGCCGTGAAAAGGATGTCGGCCGACGGGCTTTTTATTGTTCCGTGTATTTTTCCGTTCGCGGCATCCCGCTGTATTTATTAAGAATTCCATTTTTAACTATCGAGCTTTGTCGTCAGCAGTCATACCTTGTACTTGATCTAAACGAAGCGACAAACACGTGCAGCTGACTGTTAATTCTGGAAGTCACGGTATAAAGTGAAAACAGAAATTGATTGGAACTTGATAATCAAATTTAGATGTTCGTGATTAACAATTCAGGACTTGCACAGATCTTTCTCAGTATGGGGTATAATTCTATTTATACGATACATCATAAAATTTATTTTTGAAAATTCTTCTACATCCAGGATGGAAACGTAAAGTGAAATATATCGATTTGACCCCGCGCGTACATGTGGTTAAATAAATAAATAGGTTCTGGATCCTACTTTAAAAATACGCCATGCCTTCGAATTAACTAATAATACGTAATGAAACCCTATCAATATTTCACGATAGGATGGACAAATTATTATAATATCGGTATCGAGGGGAAGCCTTCATTTTCCATGCACATAAAGACTGTGTCCTGTCACCAGTATGCCGCCTCGAATATCGATTCGCGAGGTTTATTCGACCGCCAGAGCGAAAGTGAATATCCGAGAGCGACGTGTATGCGCATCGGTATTACAAAAACCAACAATGGTGTAACAATATTTTCTCGCGTATCGGACCACCGTCGCGCCGCGAGTCGCTGTATCAAACGGGATTCCGACACGGCGTGTATACGCAATTTATTTCACAATCAAACCAGCTTGTCGCGGTCATTAAATTCCGCGACGAAACGCGGGACCACGGACAGGACGAGTTACGGTTTACTCGATATCGCAATTAACGCGGCGCATAATCGATATTAATTAGCGTGCACAATGCGATCGATTTAAACTCGTCGCGTGAATCGAAACTGGCACGCTTTATCGTCGAACGTTTCCATCGGCGAGCGACAATTACGTCCGAACAATCTCTCTCGGTGTTTTTAGATTAAATCGAGTGGCTATCGACGGGATCAATTTATACTCCTTTGGAGAAAATGTGACCATGTCGGGGGAAGCTATTGAGATTCGAAACGATGAAAAGCGAGGTTTATTGAATTTAAATGCGAGGAATGTAGGTCGCGCAAGAAATCGTGGTTAGTTAGCCAGGAAAGTGCTACTTAATTCATATTAATATTCAGTTTCATTAATATACTTTAGATATTGAAATATTTTTGGTTAGTTTGTTTTTTCTTGGAAGGAAATATTTCCTTGATAAATAAATGAATAAATTCTCATATAAAAATACAACAATTAATTAATCAACCAAGTGATACAACTTCTCCGATAATGTCCAGGAACTTAAAAAAGAATAGTAATTGATTGATTTTCACAATGTTTCCGAGAACGGAATGCGACCAATACGAAATCTGACCATTTGCCGTGGTTTGATTTGTTACAGAGGGCAACAAGTGCCCGACCCCAGGCTGCACGGGGCAGGGTCACGTGACCGGACTCTACTCACACCACCGCAGGTAAGCAATTATCGATAATTAACCTGTGCTCTGCACTTTGCCCTGGTCGATTAGACACCTACGCGCTGCGAGGGAAACACCGAGCGGAACCGCGCGAATAGAATAGACCTGACGCCAACAAACCGATTCGACGTATCGACTCATGACTAAGTCGCGCACTAGTGGTTATGGCCACTTTAACACCAGGTGCGTGTACCGATGGAGCTCTAGAATCTCGCGTCGTGATAAAGAAAAACATGATTCACTCGCGGTATAAATGTGTCAAAATTAAATTTATTCAGATCAATTACTATAATCGCCAATGTTAGATTTTTTTTAAATTGTTAACTAATAGTAGCAAAACTTTTGACCTTTAGTTAATTTCAACTTGCAACCACCAAACACTATCCAATGACTCAAAACATAATTAAGGAAAGAGAATCCCTCAAAGTTCCTTAAAAAATGATTATGCGACGTATTTAAATGTACCAACTATCATTTGGTATAGCTGAACCTTCTTCCTCTTTGCATATCACACATGAAAGTCTATCATCGTTCGTTACTGTGATTTCAGCCTCTCCGGATGTCCAAGGAAGGATAAACTGACGCCAGAAAGTAAGTAATCGGCAACGAGCAAAGATCATTGTATTACTTCTTATTGTAGTTACATAGATGCATCTTCTTTTTGCGAGATTGCCTTTTTCACACGACAGGGCAAGGAAGTGGTGAGCGAGCGTGAACGGATGTGTGCACTTGTTTACTCACTATAGCGCGTTTCTGTTAGCAAACGATCAGGGATGGGGAACCTGAAACCTTTTAAAATGTTCGTTAAAACGGTCTCCCCTAAATATTGCATCAATTATACCTCTTTATTTCCGAATTACACAAAACAAATTTATTTTCATAGAGGATATTTATTTTCATCAATTCAAATTTAAAATTATTAAAGATATTAAAGAACTAAAAATTTTTTTCTTCTGTAGTATGCTAACCTCGTTCGTAGTTTAAGTAAAATGACGTCCTTCGATTCGAAAGGGTTTCCCACCCCTGCGATCAAATTTTTCGGTGGAGGGAATCACAAGCTTCGTATCGCCATCGCGCACGAGACATTAATTTCGAAAGAAGCGTACGAACTTGCTCGCATCCGGCAGAAACACAGCCACGCGACACAATCGAATTGGAAAACACGATTCTTCAATGTCGTTGCTTCTAGGCGAGTCGACGGAAAAGGAAACGCGGCCGCGTCGGCCCCGTCTCTATGTGTGCCTATGTGTCTGTCTGTAACATTCTTTGTGCTTTTTCGTTTGCGGGGTAGAGAGCTTTATTTATTGCGTTCACTTCCGTTTTAATTTCTCGTTTTGTTTGTAGTTCATTATAGTAGAGAATTATCACCACACTTGAACTTGGTTATGTTGGCCTACGTACCTACGAACAACTGGAGAACTCGAGACACGGACGGTGTGCGGCCACCCGTTATATACTATATATATATATATATGTATATAATGTAATATATGCGTATGCGCGCACGCCTGAATCGAGACGGGGGATTTTCTGCGATTGAGTATAATTGAACGTCGATCACACTCCCCTGTGACACGGTTACCGAGAAACGACGCTCGTCGTGCGCTTTAGGAGGCATCACCCTCGTACAAAGATATCCAAACGGAGAAAGATTGTCGAGTAATACCCGTAATCGTAGTGACGAGAGACTTCGAACGTCGTGCTATTTTCGTAACGCAACTCCTAATATCATTCTCAGCAATTACAAATCCTTATTTTTCGTTTCTGTTGTAGGGCTGTTAAAAATTAAATAAGTCACGCAATGCTGGTTTAAGTGCGCTAAGTGGCGATGGGCTATCGTTTAATCAGAATCTGGACAAGAAATATTCGTTAATATTTCATTATTATTCTCATATTTATTTATATTAATAATAATTTGAAGAATGCTACAAAGAGCGAAGAACTTGCACTTTGTATACGGTGTCCAACAAACGAGAAACCCAACAGTCCCAGACACAGAACACACGGCTAACCCGATCACAGTACACGAACTGCAAGTTGTTGTCTTATAATTTTATCACTGGATTGATTATGTCTTTACTTGAGTTTCTCTCTACCCGCTCGGTATACTTGGTTGTACTGTTATACACTTTTTATTTTGTATTTTCATCCCGTGACGTTTGTTGTAACCCGTCCGATCTTTCTTTGTTTTTCTTTTTCTCTCCTCCTATCTTACGTTTCTGTTACGTTCTTTCCTCTCTCTCTCTCTCTCTCTATCTCTCTCTATACACGACACCTCTCTCGTTCGGTGTTATTCGTCGAAACGGAACGTGTCAAGGACGAGTCGAATAATTATACTCAACGCATAACTGAAAACCAAGCTGACGAGCCATGGTTACGGGGGTCACAGACTCGACGATTTTTCGTGGAATAATTACTACATTTATGTTTATGGTTTTTTTCGGTCTAAGATATTCTTCAAATCGTGCATTAATTCACGCGAAGAAACTGTTAAAATTATTTTGAAGAAGTCGCGATGCCTGTGGCCCCTACCTTAATTATCCAACCGGTCGTTCGGGGTGTGCGTGAATGCGTGCGTGGTCCGAGTAGTGCAGTGCGTGCAAGTCGCGTGTAAAACCGTCTCCCGAGGAGCGTTCTGTAACCACGCCACGTGTCTCTGGGTTCTCGCAGTTCTGGCGATGCATGAGACTATTTTGAAATGCCCGACGCCTGGTTGCAACGGCCGTGGCCATGTCAGCTCGAACCGGAACACGCACAGGAGCCTGTCCGGATGTCCCATTGCCGCGGCCAATAAGCAGGCCGCACGCGAAGCACGACACAAGGCTCAAGGTAAGGCGGCACAGCAGCCCTCCGACGTGCCTGGAATTCGCGCAGGCATGAAAATCCACGTGTGGTAGCGGGGAGGGGGACCTCGAACCCCCAAGAAATCAGATCAGGGGACCTAAGCTTTCCAGCAACGACGGGAAAAGTAATCCGCCGCGGGACGTGGATCGTTTCGTGGCAGTTCTCGCGTTCACGCGAGCCTCGATAACCCTGTTCCGTTTGGCTTTGGCTTTGACGGTGCCCATGAGTAATGCGGTTTCTCGAGCAATCGGACTTCAGCATCGCCGCAAATTAATTCACGCGACTTTTCTTTGTCGGTAGCTGTACGTTATTAAAATGATACGAGTCGAGGGAAAAATAATAGTAGGGTTGCAGGTGAAAGAAAGAATGGAGAATTTTTATTTTTACACTTTTCGAGAGTTCAAGAAACGTGATTTTGTTTCCTCGAGTAGTAACGAAACTGAAGGACCAGTTGGTTGCAGTGCTGGAGATTTGAATGCTGGGATTGCGTGAAATCCACGAAACGCGTAAAAATTCCCTGCGAACGTCAAACTCGCATAATCAAAATTTTTCAATAAAAGTTTAAGATAATATAATATTACAAATTTTAACGTCAGATGCTTATAAAAAACCGACATTGGTCACGGGCACCGCGATTTAATTCGAATAAACCGCAGTGATAATTCGCTTTACAGACAGTCAATCAGCGGTAGCTCATCTCGTAATAAACATCATTCATGAAATCAAAAGCTTGTAAATAAAGTCACCGTCATCGTTTTGGATTGCATTTGAACTAATCTTGAGTTTTTGCCATGGACGTCTGCACACACTTGTCCGCCATATTATTACATCTTTTCTACTAATTTCCTAGCAACCTAATATTTAATCGTCATGTTTTACATTTTTTAATAATTCTCGCCTGGATCGAGTTGAATGGGTTGAATTCAAACCCGAACGTGTCTCCTGACTCAAGGGCAAGAACAACAAACCCCTTCCTTTAAACTGGTCAGCGTAACTTCGGTCTAAACAAAGTGTAAATTTTGTGTTCCCGCGACAGTGTCCGGTATCCCTCCCGAGTACATAAGCACGAACCTGTTGCCGCCGTCGATGGATAGCAAGAGCTACTCCCAGTACGGCTCCACGGCGCAGGACACAAAGCCTGTGCTAAACAGCCTGACCTACGACTACTACACGACAACGAAAAGCGCGGGGATCAACGTAAAACCGCCGAAAACACCGGAGGAGAGCCCTTCGTCCCGTACCACTAAAGTGATCCCTAAAACCGAGAACATGACACCGAGCGGCAGTTGCTGCAACACGTTGCCGACCAGAGGCCAGAACACGTCCGATTTGTTGGTGCCCAAGACGGAAGAGACCGGTTCCTGTCGCGTCAACTCGCCGCCACCGCCACCACCGCCCACTGTACGACCCACCTACGATTCCTACATGAATCAAGACTCGAACTCCTCGTCGATGTCGTCGCTGGACGCGATGGGCTCCAGGGGATCCATAGGGGCGACGATACATCACCCGAGTCAGCACCCGACTCACCACGTGCTGCCCATGCAGCCCACGGTCGCCTACCCGATGCCAATGGTCGAGGACACGAGGATGAGTCATCAGATGTCCCAGAGATCGCCGTACGAGCCGTCAGCCATGATGGCAGCGGCGGCGGCGGCTGCTGCGGCGGCCACCACCAGCGAGGACCTCTATCATCACAGGACAGCCGAGCACGCGAGAGCCTACATGCACCCTGGAGCGAGTAATATCGCTCGACCAGTCGTCTCCTACTCCAACGAGATAGCGAACGCGAGGGGCTACGAGAACGCGGTTGCCAGCGCTGCCAACCATCGACCGTACGATCCTGGCACCACTTCCGCCTACGACAGATACGACACCCAGAGCTGCGCGCCCATTCAGTCCCAGCAGCAACAGCAGCAGCAACAACAGCAACAACAGCAGCAGCAGTTGCACTCGAGGACGAACATGTACTATCTCGGACAGACCGGAATGACCCCTGAAGAGCAGGAACGCGTGTATCATCAAGAGGCTGCGGCCGCGGCTCAGCAGCATCAGATGGCGATGGCTGCCGCGACGGCTGCTGGGATGATGAAGACAGAAGATGGTAAGGATATTTGTAATAGTTTGGCGAGCGGGGGATGGTAATTTTGTTTACTTCTGCTGATGCCTTTGGAGTAATTCGTAGCGATGGAAATGTTCACTGTTGCAGTGAAGTGTGTCACGGTGGCGCAGGTGCAGCAAATGCAGAAGCCCGGGGGTCCACCGACCTCGCCAGGGGGCTCGGTGATGGACTTGTCCACTTCCAGCGTCACGTCTACGAGTCCGCAGGTGAAGCTCTTTTTTTTGTTAGTTTGAAGAGCGTAGAATCAAGCTGGGACCAATGAAGCCCTTAAAGGAATGATGCTATTCGTTACAGGCGCCCCCGTACGGCTCTAATAGCCTAAGCCCCCAGTACGGCGGTGGTCAGACCGTGGGCGGCAGTCCGCAAGCTGCGGCGAGTCCTCACTTGACTGCGAGTCCTCAGGTTCCCAGCCCGCAGGGGCAGACCCTCGATCTCAGCGTCAACAGGCTTCACAGGTAATTATCAGATAATACTTGTGCTTAATTTGTCAAGTTTCTTTCTGGCGTAATCTATGTAATTGTTCGTAGAAATTATTCTAACGATGGGTATTTTCGATCGAATTTCTTTTAACACTTACCCTGTAATGCACGATTTTCAACAATTTCAAAAATAAATAAAAGATCAAAGGGTTAAAATAAACCCACAAGTAAAAGAAGTTAAAACAAAAAATGATCAAACTCTCGAGTAAACTAGTTTGCCCAGCAGTTTATATATTCACCCTTAAACATGCTTCGTAAACATCTTCAACGCGATATAAAAGCCAGTCTACTTGAATCCTACAACCACGTACATTAAGCAGTTAAAGAGATTAAAAGCAAGATTAAAAATACCTACCACCCTCGTTATTCTTTGCGTAAAGCAAGCGAAATAAAGGTCGCTACGTTAATTCGTATATTACTTTTGCTTGATTACAGCGGAGCACCTAGTCCCCAGTATCCAACCGGTCACGGAGAAGCCGTGGCGGTTCCAGTTGGACCAGGATTCCCAGCTCCGAGACCAATCGAGGAGCAAACAGAGCCTGTGGACTTCTCGACGGCGAACGAGCCGGTCAATTTCAGCGGGGGTCCTGGAATCAGGCCTGTACCAGGGTTTCCGCCACCCGGGGTGCACGTCGCGGCGTACAGTCGAGAGAGCACCCCCGACAGTGGAGGTTCCCACTACATGGACGCCTACCGTGATCCCACTGGTGAGCTATCACTGTTTATCGCTTAACTTGCCAGACAGCTCGTCATCCATCTCCCAGAAACGCTTTATGACCCGCGACTCTCCTATCCTGGGCTTCCTATCGCGAACATTCATCTTTGGAGGTCCGCGGTTGACACAGTTATCGTTTAAACTGCATCGACGATATCTAGCGCAGCACATTGATCATCCCCATTGACAATAATTGAATGGAGAAAGTTCGGCGAGGGTTGCATAGAGATTTTTAGGTTGGGTGTTGGGGTACTTTTCTTTTCTGATGAGTCTAGAAATGAGGAGACATAAGGTAATTAAGGAGTTGTTGCGTTTTTCGACTTCTTCTGGGTCATCCATGAAATGAAAAAGTAACTGGTTCAATGTTATATAATGTAACGGAAATTCTTGTGTGAAACTTACATTTGGATTTTTTTGGATGAAGATAGGCAAAGATAGTTGTCCTGTTCGAAGAATTTAAACAACCATTAAACCGCGTTGTTACGATTCGGTAGTACCGCCACCGTGTCCTTGACGTTCTAAATTTTGGGGCAGGTGGAAGTACACGACGAGTCGCGAACATGTCGCTCCATCTATGTAACGGTGGACGATACGAGGGGGTTGGAGGGTTCGGAGATCCGACCGTACGAGGAATACGAAAAAGAACAAAGAGCTCGACGCCCTCGGGGGTAGGCAGGGGGGAGGTAGCGGAACGAGCGCGCGATACGCGGTTACAACCGTCGAATAAAAATTCGTCAGAACAGTACATGACTGCCATAATAGGCACCTATGGCCCGACTCTCATTTTCCTCGGTCTCTCTGTGCCTTGGCATTCCAAAGCTACAGGGCCATTCTCTTCGTCCCTGTCGGCACCTCTCCCTCCCCCGTTCATCTCTTTCCCTCGTTCTCTTTCCCTGCTCTCATTCTGTGGATGTGCAACGGCACCCTACCCTACCGGACCGTCCCCCCATCTCGCCCCCTGTGGCGGTACACGACCATTGTTAATTATCAATATTTCGCGTACACGTAGCCCGGCAAAAGTCCGGCGCGGCCAATATTGTGCGGATTCTGACGCTGGGGAGTAGTTATTGAAATTGAAACATTCGTGCACACAAGCCGGCGATGTTCGTTTCGTTTCGGCGTCGTCGTGTTTCGCGCGACGTCGCGCGTACGCAACGACCCCCTTCGTCCGTCGGCTATTTGCACTGCAGACGAAATGAATTCTTGCAGGGGTAAATAAATGCGTAGATTTTACAACGGTTAATCAAGCGTCGCGCAACTCTGGGACGACTGACGGCGGCTGCTTTGTCGGGTTTCTTGTTTTTACCGGCGTTTCTTTATTTACTTCGACGTCGAGTGGACGAGGCATATAATAATTAATGGATTGTTCGGAATTCCAATATCCAACCCACGCTCTCCATTTCCGTTATATTTCGATATTAGAATGCTTAAGCTGTAAATATTCACAGTTTACTGTTTTCATAAATTGTTTACGTGAAGTATTTCGACGTGTCATTCATTACATTATGTTTGATTTTCGTTTGCAGGGTATGGACCAATGAGCCCGCACCCTGGCTACGGAATGACAGGCGTTCAGCCTGAATACCCTGGAAACACTTACACCCCCTACCCTACCGCTGGCTACAATTGCGGTGGAACTTATCCCGGAGGCCCCGTTACTTCCGGTTACCAAATCCCGGCAGGATACACGCCGACACCCTGCTACAGCATGCCGCCCCCGCAGCACACGGTCGGGCCTCTCGATAAACCCTCGGGTAAAGACGATAGGTAAGGAATTCTACTTCTACTTCTCTAAAAAATAATATCGCGGTTACGAATATAACGTTTCTAGTGCATTGGAAAAGTGTATATAAATTATAGCAGAATTTGTTAGCTTCGATAAATAGTATTTGAACGAATCCCGCGATTTCGTGGTGTATTGATTAATTCGATGAAGATGCGTTACGGACAATCGTGAGTAATGTCGTTTTTTTTTTTTGTTTTATTCTGAAAAATTTCATGTCCTCGTAAGTAGTACACAGTAAGGTGTTCAAGTATAGTTTAGGTTTTAGAGGCAAATTTTCAGGGGTTGATTTTGAATTTGTCGAAACTATGTTGATCATTTTATAAAGTTTCGCTTCGCGGAAGAATCGAACTCGATTGACTGAACGAAGCTACTTTTCTGACTCTGTATTACTTCAATCGTAGCTTCTATTATCATTTAGTGCTTTCTCTGTTTACGAGACGGACGGAGTGTGCTCTGTCAATCGATAGGGAAGATACCGCCTTGATAACTTTAAACGCTCAATAATTTTGATCCGACTATAGCCTCCACGATTTACCTACCTTTACATATATAATGTTTGCTTATCGAGCTCACTTGTTAACCATAACTTCTTCAAGAATATTACCGCCTACTTGAATGTTATTTATTTGAAATAACTTCTCAAAAAACGACATTACTCGCCAGCGACCGTAATATTTTCAATGTCGACGCTAGAGTCTAAGGAGAAAGTTAATCGGACCACGATAAAACGCAACGAGCGTGTTCATGTTTACTGGTCCACGGCGTCCAATGAACAAGGAGCATCATCTTGCATGCGAGCATCGCAGATTTGGTACTTGCCTTGCGGAAAGGGTCGCGCGAATCTCTCTCGCGATACGTTCGCGGCTGAAAAGGCAACGGCGGCTAACGTTGGCGTAGAGGGAGGCGCAGGTCGCGCATACCTACCTCCATTTTGTTAATTAAAGTAATTACTCTTCGTACCGAAAGTGCCAACCTTATTCTAATTGACGTAAAGCTCGGGCGGTACGGTGGAGAAGGCGCGGTTCGGCGCATAAGGTGAGGAGGTGGAACGAGGGTGCAGGAGGCGGTGAGCTGCCGAGGGTGGATAAGGTCGAAAGGGGAGGTGGGGTGTAATCAGTTGCCACCGCACTGGATTATGGGGCGAGACCCGCGTCGTCCCATCGAGGTTAGACCCTTGAAATGCACCTCGGATACCTCGGGCAAAACTGGTCTCGTTTCTTTTCTAATCTCCGCGCGGCCTGGAATTTAATGCCCTTTGTCCATCAGCGCTCCTAAGAGGGGCTCGTGGGAAACAGATTTAATTAACGTAGAATGTGCCTGAACGTCCTTCCTGAAATATGGATGAAAGTAGTACTCGTGCACGAAGTAATATTGATGAGAAAGATACGTAACTTTTCTCTGATGGGAAATTTTTAATATCGCGTGTGTTCAGTGTCTGAGGGTTAATAAGAAATTTCGGTTCTATCGACTTACACCATTCCTTCTGTACATCGATATCTTCAGCAACAATACTTGAATCTTGCAAGTAATCTGAACGTAAATAAATCTAAATAAAAGTAAATTGAAAATTACTTCATGTTATTTCATGCACAATTTAAAACAATATAGACAAATCGTTATTTAACGTGTCAAATGCAATTTTACCCAGTTCCGGCCGTTGATAAAATTATCAGTTCCTTTCCAACCACCTCCGCCCTTCAAATACCAACGAATGCCACACAAAACCTTCTAGAAGACGCACTTCCAAGGACTATCATGTCACTTTTCTACAAGTAAACATTCCCAATAATCGTCCCTGTTCATCGCTAAACGACGGACGGAGAGTCAACGAAGTATGAGGGGTCCAACAGCGTGACTTATCATCCATCCAAAGGCAGAGGAAAGTGGTTAGACGGAGGTTGGAAAAATACGAAGGCAGAACGCTCCGAGGGGGACGGGGGCGTACCGTTGAATTGCACTCAAGTCCGCATCCGTCGGCTCGGTTGGCCGGCAATATCGTGGCCACTCAAGGGTCATCGAGGTTTTCGAGGCTTCTCATAGCCGGCGGTAGTTCGTTCATCTACGAGACTACGAGGAGACGAGAAAAAAGCAGAAGCAAACTGCTCTCTCGGACTCCGATCCGCGTATATTCCTTCCACCTCCTCCTGCGTCTCTTCCCGCTCTTTCTCCGCCCCCGGGGGTGGACGAACTTTTCAGATTTTTTTGTTTTACTCTCTCTCGTGTGTCGCTATCACGCCCGCTATCATACACGGACTGGGCCCTTCCCTCCCTCTGGCCGCGGGAAGGAAAAGTTGCGAAGCGCAATAAAACTTCTCGTAGTTATCCGGCTCTCTAACGATGCAACGCGCCGATTGCGTTGCGGCATCGCTCGTACGCTGGATGTTTCGATGGGCGACGTACTGTTGAGAGCTGAAAAGATCCACTTCATGGGGAACGGGAGTTCTATTGGTCGGAATACTGACCCAGGTGACTAACTAAATGCCACGAAGAGTGTCGTTTCTTCGTTTAGATTGAGCAAACGTGAGCTGTTCTTGGTGATCGTTTTAGGCTATTATTTTAGTAATTCAATATCAAACTACTTTATGGGAAGTATGAGAAGCTACCGAATTCCCAGAAAATTGGTGTCAAGTTTTGATATCGATGCTTTTGGAATTAATACAGATTAATATGGTACAAATTATTACACAGTCCCTTCAGAACAGATCTTTCAAGGTCCCAACAGTACCTTGAAAGCTACCGCCTCCCTCCAACAAAAATGCAATTTATCTTAGAAATTGTTCATCGTCATCTATCGTATGACATTGGAAAATAAATAGTCGAGTACGAAACGATTAGAAGCAGGCATATGAGAGACGAGCAATCGCGTTGAGTGTGTTTTATTGTTGATGTTGTTCGGTGCAGTATGAATATGAGGCGGCACTCGTTGAATTTTGTACCTCGACCCGCCCCTCGTGGTCGCGATGGCAAGGAGCTGATACAGTGCCCCACGTCGTCCTGTGATGGCATGGGTCATGTCTCGGGAAACTACGCTACCCACAGAAGGCAAGGCTGCATTGGCATTGACACTGACGTTAACATTGACGACGACATACGATTATGTATATTTATATATTGGTATAGCGATGCAGCACGCACGCACGCACGCCGACACACACAAAAACACAGACACGCATACACGCAGGACCTTAGTACCCTGTTGTGTCGATTCATAGCAATTTCCCGAACCCTCTGTCGATGGACGCTGGGTCAACGATGACACGATCCTTGTAGGGGCCACAGACGTAACGATTCATCGTCTGATAACGTATGATAATAACAGAAATTTCAAGCTTGTATCGACGGTGAGACGTGACGATTATTTAAACTGATTTTTTAAAACGTTTGTAATATATGAATTCATTTACGTATATTGTAAATTTCATTTAATTGTATAGAATAATAGAATTAAAAATTCCATTTCACTTACACCTCACAGTGTCTGTGGCCTCTGTCAGGATTGTTTTATCTTAGAATCGTGTCATGTGTCTGCATTGTAGTCCGAGCCACAGCACTCCTCTTCTTCCACTCCTAACATCAGTAAAATTCGTCAAAGACTGACTCGGTTTTTTTCGAATCGATCATCTGAAATCATGCACACTATCGGATTTTTTTATCGCATTTTATCGCAACTAAATAAAAAAAAATGGATAAAAGATTTACAAGTTTCAATTCAAAATACTAGAGTGCCCTCTTGAAGTAGCACAATCCTCGTTTCTCATTCGTTCCCTAAATCACACTCGAAGAAAAATCATACACACAGACACAAGTCGTCCTAAAACAGTGCTGTACACGTACGAGTAACGTCACGAGAGTGACTCGACATAGATGGGTTTTTGCATCGATGCATATTGGTGGTCCGTGGCATAGTGGCTTCTTAAGTGTTTTGCGACACTGATCGTTTGTCTAGAATAACCCGTTCACCTCCATTTCCTAGCTAAGCCAGTCTTGTACTACCCACTCGATATTGTTGCATACATCTATATTTTAATTATACGTGTGACTTATCCGTTGATATAATTAGCTATTTACGTTCAACCCAGTAACGTTTCAGTTTCGTTTATTTCTTTCGTCTATTGACAGTCTGTACCACGTTTACGTCACGTTTTCCATTTGTGTATTGTTTTATTACGACAACCCTTTTGATTGCGTTACCGTACGATATATATTACTCCAAAGTGTGTAGATGAGTTTCGTGTTGAATGAAATATATATATATACCGTTTGCTCCCCGTTTCGACCCGACCCCTACGAAAAGGGATGGCAAAATCATTGAGACTAAGATCGCGACGAAGAGCGGCTTCGTGCCGCGTCCATTACGCTTCCACCAGTTTGTCTTTGACCGTATAACGTTGATGTTCGTTTTCATATACGCATAATATATGTATCTGTACGATCACCGAACCAGCCCGTTTAAGAACCGCTTCGCCAGCCTCGAGTGGGCAGCTTCGTAGCGAACTGTTGTCAATGACCATGTCAGAGCAGAGAGAAAGAGAGAGAAAGAGAGATGTAAAGAAAAAAAAAGAAAATCATTACGTACTATAGAGAACGCAAAAACGAACGACAATTGGCAATTGACGAGTTTCACTGGGGTCAGGTGTGAGTGTGCTCCCTGCTCTCCCTTCGGTGTTCCTAGAGTAAGGCTGACCTTGTATTGACATGAACCTCTAACGCGATCGATCGTAACGAGCGACACCTCATGAGTGATCCAACTGGAACACGGCGTTGCCATTTGCATGCTATCATATATACAATTATACATCGTTGATTGCCCGTTTCGACTGTGCGACCATCATTCCTCCGATGTCCGAGAAAGAATTTAGGATCTGACGAGGAGACTTCGGCGTGACGCTTGCTATACGTTTTTCACGAGGACGGTGTACGAAGTTCTCGAAGCGATTGGCGTGTGGCTTTATGACCAGACGGTTGATAGTTTGAATTATCGAAGGGTTATTTAACGTTGAGGTTTTGAGAGGTTGTGTATCTTCAGTGAAGGAAGAATTATTTATAAATGAGTCTGTGGTTTATAATAATACACACGGTCCCCTAAAACTTTAGGATTAAATTACTGTTAAACTCTCACCCGTCGAACTTTAAAATCACACACTAACTTCGGACTCTTAGCCACCATGCAGTCCCATCGAAAACCGAGCGTCACCCTGAAGCATCTGCTCGTGAGACTCGAATCGATCGTTTCGAGAGAGAACCAAGCGTTTAACCGCGTCTTAAGCCTACCTTTGTTAACTGTCTTCGTTCGAACTGGACGCAAGGCAAGTCGTCCAACACTTAGCTGCGCAGAACGCTCTGAAAAGTGATTTTAACGCGCGAGCAGCCTCGGTAGAGGATCTCGGTGAACAAAATTTCCCAATTGCATCGCTAAACGAATCGATCCAACGATCAGTGACGATTATTCTTATTTGAAACGAGACTTCGACGACCCATCGAGATCTTCTTTTTTAATACCTGAAACGTAAGTACTCGAGACTTCTTGGCAACGTCGCGTAAATTGCATGCGATGTGTTGCTGAAGCCATCGTTGGATGTTTCTGAGGTGTGCGTTCGTGGTTCTGACCATGGGGATTGATGCGCTACTGATAATTAACGTTCGTCGAATGATCAATTGATAATTTATTTACGAGGCCTAGAGTAGCGCAGAATCGTCATGGTATGGTTGGAACGAGTTTCGAACAACAGAGAGTTTTGTTTCCTTTGCAGTCTCTCCGGTTGCCCGCGGGCCGATAGATCCCAGATCCAAGCGCATTCCCAAGAGCTGAAGTGCCCTACGCCAGGGTGCGACGGGTCTGGACACGTCACCGGGAACTATTCGTCTCACAGAAGTTTGTCCGGTTGTCCACGGGCTAACAAACCGAAGAGCAAGCCGCGAGATGGACAGGACTCTGAACCATTAAGGTCTGTCGCTGTTTGCTTACTATCGCAGTGAAACGATCTCCCTCCATCCTAGTCGCTTCAACCTTAGGACAGTACTGCATTTACCAATAGTATTGCATGTCTTAATCGTTTTTGTCTTTACACATTTTTTAAGAAAATGTATTCTATTGTTAATTATAATTTACGATTTTCCAGTAGCGAAAGACTCATTTAGCGACAGGTTTGATATTAGTTTGAAGTACAATGATGTCTTGCAATCTTAGATATAGCATAGTGAGGCACTGTATCCTAATCATTATTATTTCTACATATTTCCTATTTGGGGCTGTTCGAAGTGAAATGGTGTCTTTCAATCCTAATACATTTAGGTATAGAATAGTGGGATACTACATTCCCTAATCATTTTTTTTTTTTTTTGCATGTTTCAACGAGATTTTCTAGCACAGAAAGACATATTCAGCACCACCTATGGACTTGTTTGAAATAAAACCCTTTATTCCTGAGTTTGTAAGAAACTGTATTCTTTACTCATTTTTTTTGTTACGAATATTTCACCAGAATCATAGAACTTTATTTATCCTTTCTGGCAATCTTTTGAAAAGGAGAAACCTATTCGCTATCAAGACTAAATTTAAATAATTACCCACTACTCTCATAGTTGGCGTATGTAGTTCATTATTGGAGTGTGAATCAAAATTATTGGACTAAAAGCAATCCCTTGTCGCTGGTCTAGTTTCACTCAAAATCGTTGAAAACAATTAGACTTGAAACTTATCTGAAATCGGCGCAATTGACTCCGGCAGATCGCATCGCGGCTCGAGATAGAGTGGAATTAATCGAGGTAGATTCTAGTCTCTTGCAAACTCTGCAACTTGTTGTATTGCACGTAATCGCGATCTCAATTTGCGCTTTCACCGCGTTCGCACGTTGCACGCAGCCACGCGGTTATCTTCCTGGCCACATTGCACGTACTAAGATCTGCTGGGAGACCGAAAAGGGAAGATCCCTCGGTCCCTTTTGGACCCGTATCCCTTAAACCCATCCATTTCCAAACGCAAAGACGAAGACGCTGACTAATAACTAGCGGTTTCCGCTCATTTCATGCTCACTCTGTGTGGATGGATTGTATGGTGTTGGGTAATGGCGGTGTTGGCTTTTCGGACTACAGATGTCCGATCCCTGGTTGCGACGGGTCTGGCCATGCCACTGGCAAATTCTTGTCGCACCGCAGGTAAGACTTTCGTCGATTTATCGTGGATAATCTAATATTATTTATCCCAGCAAGAAAAACTTCCTCATAAAAATAGAAAACGGTGATTATTCTTCGCATTACTCTGAGAATCATAACTACCGAGGACAACGAATATCTGTTGAATATACAAGTATATTTTTTAAATTAGAAAAATTTCACAAGTTTATTGCAATAGAGGCTTTATGGGTAGTATCAATTTATTATTTAACTATTTTTCCGAAAAAGTAACTCGATTCTCGTTTACTTCCAAACTAGCCAAATCCAGATACCTCCTAAACAAGGCAGATTTAAACCTCGCAAAATCGTCTACAACCCACGGTCCTACGTTCAACTCGAACAAATTTCGTTGTAGCAGCCCGACGTCACCTTGGTCGAAGCATCGAAAGATTCGTCGCCACGGCCGATGAAATAATATACCTTCAACGTTGATGACTTTTGTTGCAGCGCATCTGGCTGCCCCATTGCCAACAGGAACAAGATGCGAGTGCTGGAGTCAGGCGGAACGGTGGAACAGCACAAGGCAGCGGTCGCAGCGGCGACGGCGATGAAGTTCGAGGGTGTCAATTGTCCCACGCCAGGTTGCGACGGGGTCGGGCACATAAACGGGTCGTTTGCGACGCACAGGTCCCTCTCGGGTTGTCCTGTAGCTGGACACGCGGTGAAGAAGCCGAAGTTCGAGGACATGTCGAGCATGTACAGCAAAGGAATCGCCGGTGAGGATCGAGCTGGCTCTGATGTCATTGATGTCCTCGATTATCGATACCCGGCACTGTTAATCGAAGAATAAGAGAGAAACTGCAGGCCGGCTCTGCGTGAGGCGAGTCGATGAAAAACGATATCGTAAAATTCAATGTCCATGCAAATTGGAGACTCCATTCACGCTGGGCTACGGACCTGATGTTGCGACATGTGATTGCCTACCGAAATGAGGTAGAAGAGAAGATCTAGAGTAGGCATGATCATCTAAGTTTGCCTTTTATTCTTTTCTATGCTTCCATGTCGTACTCGTCCAGGCGAATGCTTCTCTTCTTCGAATTAACGACTCGAATTGCTTTGTTGGATAGAAAGAACATAATTATGACAGAGATCAAGCTCAAACTATTCGCGGATTGGACGAGTCGACGCGAGAAAAAAAAAAACCGTGACAAAATTATGAACCTTTATTTGTAAACTTGTGCATATATTGACCTTGTACTTCCCGTGCTATGCCATACTCTACTCTTTACGCAATGATGTGCTGTCATACCAACAAGAGTAACCTCGTCCTTCTTCCTCTCCCACATCTCCCCGACCGCCCCCCGTATATTCAGTTACTTCATTTGTCGTTTTTACTTGAGTGTTACGTTCAGTTCTACGTTACCCCTATTTTCTCCGTAAGATCGTTGGGTATCCAGGTGTTTTCGAAGCCCGCTTCCGTGGCAGAACGCGCGAACGACACGCGAAGCGTTTTCGTTTGCCAGCAAAGAAACACCTGAACTCTCGTACACCTCTCGAATATCCCAACTGTGTCGCTCTTTATTTCTTTTCGCCTCCTCCAATAACGAATTTGGCCCGTTACCCCTCACCGCGTGTATCCTGCTCCCACAATTATTTATGTGCAAGAACGAAATGTAAAGCCAAAACAAAGAAAGAAAAGCAACCGTATGTCATAATAATGAAAAATAATATATTCTGATTTATTCTGGGATCACGATCAGCTCCTTTCCTGTCATTGAGCTTTGAGGAGAACATTTACTTTTGAAGGTAAGGGACTGACGTACTCGCAATTTGTTTTCTATGTGTTTTCGGTGTTACATACAAAATCCACACACCAGTAATTTTACTTTTACGAGATGACGACCGAGTGTTGGCAAGATCGGCGAGCTGGCCGTTCCTGGGGCAGCTCGGTGTCGAGAATGTTTTCCAAGACTGTCACGGTAGTACGCGACGAGCGATGTCGAATAAATAAAAAGAATATACATGAAAAAGAATGATTGAAAGGCCAGCACTCGGTGTCTCCCATTTTTTTCTTCTATCTGGTATGATGGCACCTCACGCTACCTCGAACACCCTTAACTGACATTGCTCCCGATCATTCTGTTCCTGCGGCACACTCCTGTCAGGTTCGTGCGTCTGTCGATGATCTACCGTGTCACAGCCGAAAAGAACGGTTCTAATTAACGCCCTAACGGCACAGAAGTAATTTTAACCATCACTTCAGCACGAACCACTTGCAGAAGAAACCGTACAACCGATCCCGCATTTCAGACAAAATCCTCATGCAGCGACTTGGGACATTTCGTAGTGCCTGGCAAGCAACTAGCGTCGCGAGAACAAAATACCTATGACAGAGAAATGATAGACGATGTGATTCTCGACTGATAAATTCTCTATCCGGCCCAAATCGCTGAAGCTTTCCTGGCGCTACTAACATGCTCGCCACATTTCACATTTTATTGTATATATTATATATACTATGTATATTAATATGAATCCCGCACACCTGTTAAGAAAACGTATTAGTAACATAACTCTCTGTAACATCGAGTCGCTTCCGTATGAGTGGACGGAGCTCTTAGAAAAGAGTTGCGCTCGAGATTGGGTCGAGGACTGGCATCCTTGGCTTCTGGCGGTTTCCACGGCGAACGCGAGACCAATTTTATAAATTAGTGATCCTTGCTAAAACGTAGGAAACAATGTCATAGCGGAGTCGCGTTCGTTTGAGGAAGCTGTCAGAAATCGGAAGGAGTATGTGCCGTTAAGAGAGGGACAGCCTGTTAAAGTGGACCCTGTATGTCGTATATTCAGGAGTGGACACCAGTGGTCCGGCTCACGGGGGTGCGGTGGGTACGGGTCAGGGTAACACGAGTGGTAGCGGTACCGCCACTGGTCAGGGCGAGGATCTCTACACACTGGAGGCAGAGATAACGGAGCTCCAGAGAGAGAACGCTCGGGTCGAATCGCAGGTGCTGCGCCTGCGCTCCGATATCACCGCCATGGAGAATCAGCTGAAGCAAGGTGAAAAGGTCAGTACTCGGTCGGTAATCGATTCCATTACCGTGCGATGATAGAGGAGATGCGGAGATGTTCGATCATTAGTAACGTAGATTACCCTCGAATCTGGACTGAGACTATCAGACGAATGCGAAGAGGTATCACTTCAGCTTCTAAAGTGTTTAATCTTGAATATAATAATGGAAGTGGTACAGTGCTGATATTGGCATGATCTGAAAGTCTCAGTTTGGATCACTGATATCCCAAAAGTTAATGTAGACGTCCTTGCTACTAGTTGTTGGTAATGATGTAGAACTTCTTAAATGTGGGCTGAGACTGTTGGACGCGAAGTACCTGTAATTGGTCTCGTAGGAAAGATAATGTCGGTAGTTGGAAGTCTTTCTGGAAGTCTCAGCCCAGATTAATGTGGACTCAAACCCACGAAATCTCAAACCCTGTAGTTAACGTAGAGTATCGTTGGTATTAATTGTTGGTAAAAATAACGTAGATCATTCATGGATCTTGATTCAAACTGGCAGGTCATTTTCAGTTTTTAGTTGATCTCTTTAGTACATCACGATACATACCCTCCTAATGTATACCTGGCAAACATACACACCCTCTGACCACCCTCGTACCCTATAAAAAGTCATCTTAAGCTTCAAGCACGCGACAGGTCGACCATTCTATTTCTAACACAAAACGATTTCGTTTCTCCGCAGGAAACAACGACGATCTCCCAGCGGAACAACAACCTGACCGAGTACTATCAGTCGCTGCGCGACAACATGATAACGCTGCTGGAGCACGTGCGAATACCCAACACCCCGGGCGGACCGCAGGAGAAGATGGGCCACGAGAACTTCGACAGTTACCTAACGAAGCTGCAAACCTTGTGCACCGCCGACGGCTACTGCACGGATGAGGCGAACAGACCGATTTACGAGACGGTGAAGACCGCGCTTCAGGACTTCACGGTCCTACCGACACCCATCTGAGACCATCCTTAAAGCTCAATGATAGGATGCAACGCTGGCTGGACACGCTTGACCCAGTGATCCAGCGTTGTGTCGAACAATCTACTAAATAAGAACACGGTTCGCGTGGTTGCCGATTGGACACACTGTGCGTCGAACAGGAACGATTAACGACGAAACGTGTGCTAAGTATATGTCAGAGGAAGTTACTCTTCCTCCTTACGAGGGAATTCCGATCGACGGGAAGACTAGGGTGCCTCATGCTCGAAGGTACGCCAAAGACAATGTTTTTACGAATTACCCAGGTGATCTGCCTGCGCGACAGGCGAAGATGGTGCTTTAGGCCACCGATGAACTGTATAGACTGTTAGTAAATGTTACAACGGTATCTAAGCATCCCCTTCGATGGTAAAAATCGAGGGTGATTCTCGCGGACTGACGTTGCTCATAGCGATATCTCTTTTTGTACATAAACGAACCTTGTACCGCGTAAGTATTAAGGCCGGCAGCGAAGACCGCGCAGTCATCATGTAAATAGGAGGAGAAAGCATTTATATTATTCGAGGGGACGTTGAACGTGGTCGGTCTCGGCGACGAGACGGTGTAAAAACGGATAATGGCCAGCGATAATCAGAGGATCCAGCTTAGATGTATATCGAGAGTAAAGAAAAAAGCAAAAAAAGAAAACAAAACGTATCGCTCTTACCCAGTGTATAACTGTTACTACTCGTTAAGCAATCAACGTTTAAGTCTAAACGATGGACGATGGAGACCGCTGAGACGCTGCTTTCTGCTGAACCGACGGCTAATTAATTATGAATTACTATTGCGTAATCATTACCTGCTAGATACTATTATTACTACTATTGTCACTGTTACAACCACCGAGATCGTTTCTAGGATTAATCCAAGTCATTATTATTGCTACCACTAACTCTTATTACTGTTTGATATAGGATATAGCGACGAGTATACCGACGCATTTATATTATCAACGAGGCTACGAACGGTGCAACACATTTTGTCCATAGGGTGTACATAGTCGCAGAGAGATACGAATGTCACGTGGGCGATCGGATGCGCGCGAAGATGTCTGGCATGTATCGATACGTGGGACACGCTTGCCGATCGCTCGCGCGACCTTCCGTTGGGATATATGTCGATCGTGAAACACGGTGTATTTATCGAAGTTCAGAATGGTGGCGGACGCGATTAATCTCGTCGTGAATTAATTAACAATTTCGCAGCCGGCGATACCAGCGAGATAAACATTCGGTAGCAGGTGTTACAAATTTTTAAATTAAAAGAACAGATGGAATAGAAAATTGTGGATGTTATTCTTTGCCTATATTGTAATATGAGAAAGTACATTAATACCAGACGATTAATCATTCTGTTAACAAAATGATCTGAACATGTCGACGATTAAATTATAAACAAAAAATAAGCACGTGATATCGTAGTATATCTATATCGAAAAGGACATTTTGTTTATATTTATCTATTCCCTATCTAAAAACAAGTAAACATTTAACATATATTAAAACATAGAATGATATTCGTAAATATAAATTCCACAAATACAAGATCATATTAATAAATATGTATTTTATGAACACAAACTTACGTCAGCTACGGATTTAAAAACACCGCGAAAATCACGTCGTCGGCTGCGAATTAATTAATCGGGACGAACGATACGCTCGTTCGCGTGTGCAATAGATTTTTCGTCTTTCAGTTTGTTTTTCCGTGGAAGAAATCTCGAGGCAGCGGTGATACGCGCGCAATGGCTGCATCGGCGCGCAGTTGTTATTATATTTTCCGTTGACGCAATTTTACAATCTCCGTACAGAATAAGTTGGACGTTTTTAATGAATTGTAAAATACGCGAGGGACTGAGTGTAAATATTTAACGCGTTGCGAAGCGACTGGAGCGAGAATATCGTCTGCCTCTTTGACGCTCTTGCGATGGCGGGTAGAGTGTCGAACGAGAGATAAGTTTGACAAAACACGCGCGTACAATGCGCGTACGGTTCGTTTCTGGTATCGACAAGTATACGAAACAAAATACGAAACAATGAAAAACGATGCGATGGTCAGTGCGAATTTCTTCGCGCGAGAGATGACAGGAGGCGGAGAGGGGCTCAACGAGGCAGAGATATCGAAGGCGAGCAGTGCTTATTATTTTACAGACTGATGTGATTTTTCGTCGCAGTTATTGGAACGGGAGTGTATATATATAATTGAAACGAACGGGGTTGCGTGGACGAAAGATTACCGCGAGAACGAGATGAAATTATACTTTAACCAAGACACCGTGTAGTGAGGGTAATAATAAATTAAAGTATAGCGATAGTCGGCCGGCGATTAAACGATTAATCTCGACGTTTATCATTATTCTTGTCATTGTCATTATCATTACGAATTATAATTGCCATTGTCACTGTGATTAGGATCTGTTCTTTTGCTCAACATGAAACGACACAATACGGCGGGGGAACGTGAACGTTGGATGGAAATGGCCCCACGGTTGAACGGTCGTTCCCGATTCTCTCGAGGTTACCATTCTGATGATATTTATTCCTATTATTGTCCATTATTGACCACTATTGTCGTTACGTTCTCATCATTATTGCGATTATTATTGTTGCCGTTAATAAAGTTGTACGAACGTATAAGTTCAATGACATGCTTTAAGTAAGTATAAATGTTACTCCGATTGAATAAAGGGTATTTATCGACGACGACTCAACTTTTTCCTGAATGAAATCGTGCACTGTGTGGGTGGTACCATTATCATTTTCAGTTTATTTTGAATGTTAATCACGGTTTGATAAAAAATGTTTTCTATTTTTGGTAGACCAAAAGTCTAGTTCCAGCAGTCTAGTTCTTTTTTTAATTTGTAAACTCATACAACAATGGAATGAAGTATAATATATTTAAATTACTCAAAAATTCGATATGGAAGGGAAATAAGGAAAGACTATTTAGTTTAAAAGTTGCCTAACTTTATATTTGTATTTCCATTATAAAAAAAAGAGTCTTGTTTTACAAAGCGACGTCGCGTTCGACAAGTGACGTATGTATCGCAACACACCATCATCGTTATATATATCACAATAAAATGGACGTGCGAATGAGTTTCACATGCGCAACGTATACGTGTAAATTGACAATCATGGAAATCATATGGCAAGCAAAAATGGTTTCTCTATTAAGCCGCACGATTGTCTAAACGACGAAGACTCGGAACGCATATAGTTCCGATCTTTTTAGGACGTCTACTCTCCTCGCTCTCGTATTTTTACAAGGGTCTCGAATTCTTCCTAAGAGACAAGTTCGAGTATTGCTAAACTCCAGACGTTATGCATTAATGACGTATACTAATATAAAAACATATCCCATTCAGAATATATATATACATATATATAATTATACAAAATAAAATGTTAATATTACTTCGTTGAAATTGTGTCGCCGATTATTCGTTAATACCGAGTGAACAAATATGAATTGCATTTGCAATATCTTTGCTAAAAAGTGGTCACGTATTTCATATAACAAATAACAATTAATACTGCTACGTTGTCCTCTCGATATCATCAAATAATTCATAACACAGTTACGTTTGATACATGCGAGAGCAATAAATCAGAAATATACTGTAAATTTGATTATCGCGTCAATTTATGTAACATTTATCTACATATGATTTGCAATTGCTTTCCATATTAGTGTACGTCATAAAATCCACTAAACCTGCAGTCGGGGTTTGCAGATACACCTCACACGGATGGACTCATTGGAACATTACGTGCCACGTGTCTCTTCATCGATGACTCGTGATCGCTATTTTAAACTCGCTCCAAATAAGTCAGACGAAATCGATAATCGTGCTCGTACACAATGGAGATTTCAAGGCAAGTCCACTCAAAGTTTCCTGACGATTTCGTGATAACCGGTTCCATTTCTCACCCGTGATTAGAGTTTATTTAGGCGCTGGTCTCCCTCTCTAGGCGCTTTTCTCGAAAGGCACAGCAACATTCGCGACATCTTCGTTAGGCTTTCAACCCTCTTCGCTCCTCAAGCGTCGATCGTTCCGTTGTCCGCTTCGTAGACGAATCCACCGCTGAATAGGCCGACTACTATTTTACCCTCTACCATCGATTCTATCTTCCATCATGTTGTTGGTATATGTTCCTTTGACAAAAGCTGTGCCCTGTCCGTGGGACGACCACTCGTTTAATTCTTTGAACACAAACAGTTTAGTCTACTATAGACGAGGTCCAGAGATACGACGACGGCAACGTTCATCGTGATCGTATTTCGAACGTGCTCGTATCGTCGTCGTGACGCTAAACGAATGACGGAGTCCTCACACTCTCGTCACGCGGTTATTCTTGCGTGCCTTCAAGTTGTGGAGCACAACGCTGGACCCCCAGCACACCGCAAACATCTTTCGTTGCGATCGGGATTATCGATGACGAAGATCTCACCTGAAAACGAGAAAGGAATTGTTCGTGAAAAATAATAATATATTTCATTGGCATATTCCTAGCAAGGAATATGCTTCATTAATTCTGAGCAATTCTACACGCCTACTCCTAAAAGAATTTAATCAGAATTTCTTTAGCTCGTCCTAAACAATCTTTAAAAATTATTCTGTCCTCGCGATTCCCACAGAAATGTGCTTCTCGAATTCCTTTAGTCAAATTGATCATTCCTAAAGGTAGGAAGCTCTTTATCGATTATTGCTTCGAACGAAAGAGAATTTACACAGCTTCTATTTCGAAAAGAATACAAATTTACCAACGTGGTTAATTGGTACACCTATCCATTATGTGACATGACGTCAACCTGTTTGACAGCAGTGACGTCATAGCACAGAAATCACGTCACGGTTCTGCCTACGTGCACGGAATCGCTCGACCTCGTTTTCCCGCTTCTCTGGCTTTCACGTCCGCGGACAGTTCAAACATTTCTCACGGACGGTTTACAAATAAACCTCACGGCCTCCCACACTAATCTTCATCGTTCCTTCATTCAACGCGTCGATGAAAGAGATTTCATTCAAGCGTGGATACGCGAAGATTCAAATCAATTTTACCTCGCGTACGGTGGCGGCGGCGACGGCGTTGGATCCCTAGAAACAATTTCCACGGTTCTCGGGATCATATTGTGCACAGTCGGCAACGACAACGCACTGCTGGTGCTCAGTCTAACCAGGTGGCTAGGATTCAGCTTGATCGCATCGTCGTAGCTAGGTGGCGCGTCCGTTACCGCCTCGTAGTCTGGCGGCTTTTGCCTGGATACACTAGATGGTTCCTCGATGGAGATCACATGGATCGGATCGTCTATCTGCGATCAGAAAGTTACCGTATGAATCACGTCGCTCGTGAAACTCGTCCAAATCCTACGCAATCCGTTCCCGACGAAAGCGCACGCTCCGCGGAAACGGGACGCTAGGAATTTCCATGTTGGAGGGACGCAGAAGTGCTTTGCACTCTCATTTCTCTTATTTTGTCACTATTATGTTCATTACACTAAAAGGTAATGCGTAAGGCTCGTTGATTAAGTGAACTTTCTAAGTAATTATTAACATTCTTGATTGTGTGTTGAGTATCTTCAGGTGTAAGGAGGACTTGTATAATTAATTTGTAATTAAGTGGAAATGAAAGCCAGAACAGGAGTATTGTTCCACATGTTTTCACTACAAAGAGAACGACATTTCTTTTAAGTATAAAATGCCTTCTGCTAAGGCCTTCTGAGATCACTTGGAACTCTCGAAACTTATTGCTCGCAATGATCACTATTTTCTTTTAAATTTACTTAAGCTTCAGATATACCTTCTTTTGCTAGAATAAAATTAATCAAAAATTTGCATTTAAAACATTCGAAATATTCACGGAGACCCCAGAAGTCCTCCTAGGCCAAGTCGCCATTTGTTACGCGACTTTATGACGGTATTATGCTCGACCGCAAGGATATTAACCCCGAAATGGTGCTCCTCTATATATATCGCGGGTCGTCTATAGATATCTACCTATAGATATCTGGCTATAGTAAGTAGACATATATGCGCTCGCCTCGACACTCTTTATAAAATTATAACTGGTCGGACCTAAGCCGCGAAAGGGCGCAAAGTGACGTACGAGACACGGAGAATGAAAATAGCCACAGTTATGCGTGACTAAAGGGAGAAAGAGGTTCAGAGAAAATTACATAATCGGTTTCAGACTGAATCTCCAGGTGAATGACTGAGGCCAGCCAGTCGGTTTTCCTCGCCAAAATCGAACGCTTTCCTCGAGGCACGCTTCGATGACGGGATTTGCAGTCACGCCATTGCAACACTGACCCGTTCAGCTACTATTTCGCGTTGTCGGCGATCTTGTTCGTTGCTCACGACCAGGATAAAGGATTTCACTTATTTAATGAGCTATCGCGAGTCTGATTCTATGTCGAGCTTTAGTCAGTAATGGAAAATGAACAGAATATAGTAGATATTAGGTTATAATTCTATTCTAAGCAAAGGAAGACACGAACAAATTTTCCTTTTCTCTTCTCATACTGTATTCAATGTTGAGGCCCTCAAAAAATCAACAAACTTGCGAATCATGTTAGAAAGATTTTCTTCGAAAAAGCGACAAATGAGCAAAACTCTCGGTACCAAATTTATTAAAATGTTCTCAAAATAATTTAAAGTGAAACTTGTATACAACATCATTGAAATTAACTTAATGCTTCGTAAAATATTCTCTCACCCTTCCATGTATGTCAATTATAACTGAAACATGTTGCATCGAAGGATGGTTACCGATAAATATAGATACGAGCTTCCGGGTGAATATCCTTACAGTAGTTAAGCGTTGCAACTACCACCGACCTCCTTTATGCATCGAGCAGCAGACAGACCTATGCATTTCTATTGTTTCCTCTCGTGCAACGAAAGGAGGAGCGACTGCTATTTTAAGTAGCGCTACGCCTACACTCTACTTTGAAAGAAAAAAAAAGAGACGAGACTTTTAAAAACGGAATTGTATCGTGCAGCATGTTACACCACACATGTGTTACACGCCAATTTAGTTTCGTGTGACACGAGATGTGCCAATCGTAAGGCACTAATACAATTTTAATTGTTTTTTGAAAAACTTCTAAATTCTGAAATTGTATGAAACAGAGAAACTTCTCTTGGAAGCAATTCGCGACGAAGGTGCGCAATGAAAGTGTGAATTGGCACGAAATAAGACAAAACGAGCGATAAAATCTTCCACGAACGACAGTCACCAATTCGATCAGCAACGATGCTGGGAATTCCATGACGCCCGTGAAAAAATATGCAACGATCGTATCTGCGTGATGCAACCTTTCCTATCTATGGAACGACGCGCCACGTGTTCGGCGATTTTGACGATTCGAGATTTTTCCGTCCCGTCACGCGTAAATCTCGACGATCTCTGGATCCGTTCAACCGCGAGTTTACAATAATTAACCGTGAATTTACCAAAGGCCAGATGGCACACGCGAACGTGCATGGTTCCAGAGGCTTTCGAGTGAAGAAAGAAGGTTAGTTGGAATGTGGTCTGCATAAAGTACAACAGGGGTCGTCAAACTTTTTTTGAAAAGTAAAATGACGTTACTGAAAAGTAAAATAACTTAACGTTTAGAATTCAAATACAAGTGTTTAAATATATTTAAATACCTGCACATAACAGTTTACTTCCTGTCTTAAAATTAGTTTCACGTACCGCAAGCAATCATCTATGGAATTTGAAATACGAATGATAGAAAGAAAGTTGGACTGCGGTACTTTTATCCCGCAGCGCGTTTTGAAGCAACGATAATTGCGATTGGGCTGTACACCGCTATAGTATACACGAGCACTTCGCGGTATACGAGAGTGGGTTGACCCGGATCGATCTAGGAACGCTATAATCTTCGAGGGCTTCGATCAAGACCACCGTTTCGAAACCCTTAAACCGCGTCGTGCATAAATTAGACGAGAGAAAAAATAACGGCTCCGTCGACGTGACGTGGACTTTGGTATCGATTACGTAATTACTGCTGAAATCATTTGTCAGGCAGCGATAAATATATTGTATTACGAGCTCGTTCATTGTGTAACACGGTCTCAAAAGAAACGACACAAGGAAATTCCATTTTCTTTGTAAAAAAGTCGACACAATCGGCAAATACGCAAATAGTCACGATAATGGTCTAACCAGTAATTACGCTGCTATTACAATCTGTAAGAGCGTTGAAATTCGACGAACGTACCACGTTGCTACTTTGTGGCAGAATAAATTGAACACACCTGAAGAAGACTCTCACGTGGATCGAAACGTGAATTGCGATTGGACTTAAAGCCCTCAGAGTAGGGGAGAATTGCCAAAATTGTTGCCATTAAATATATCTTGTTTGTACTTGGAATCTGTCGGTTCGTCTTTAAAAAATATCCATAAATTTTCCATTTTATTTTATTTAGAAATTTAATTTGGGTGATATAGTATTTTATATATGCTTAATGTAAATTATATATACTTAATTTTAATAATACAAAGACAGGAAAACAAAAATGTTTTTTTCTCTATTCCTCTATCTAACGAAGATAATCGAAATTGTGTTGTAGTTTATTTGATAATACCGAACGATACTATATCAATTCTAATCTTTTCTTGTTGTTTAAATGACGACCAGGAAGTATGGTTTACTAATTTTATTAGGGAATATCCATTTTTCCTTCCTTCGTTATCACCGATAAACTTGTCGAAGGCAAATATAACTATTGGACTTTCCATAGAAATAAGCATTTACGTACAAGTTATCCAACACTGTTACAAACCATCCCAATTAAAATTCATAGCCCCTAGTGGCGAGATCAGAAGAAATAAATATTCCCGCATCAAAACATACAAGGTTTACAAAGAATTCCGAAAATATCACGTTCTTGAGTCGTTCGAACGACAAATAATCATTGAAACCAACACAATATCATTGCATATTACCAAATTAATCCACGGAACATTTTCAATTCTCTCGGACGGCATTGTGACACGGATTCAACGCACTTTCCGTGACGGACGTTTAGAACGAAACGTTTATCGTTGTCGCTGGCTTTGAAAAAAAGAAAACTGAAGTCTTACCTGTGCCGTGATCGGATGATTTGTGTGTTGTGTGTGCATGGTTGCCCTATTTGGCGGTGCGTGCAGCCAACAGCACATTGCGGCACATATGAGAAGAGCCCCCGCAATTATGCAAGCAACACCGACATATCGTACCGGTTCGACGTAGTTCTCGGCGAGGCCTAACCAGTTTATCAGAGCTCCAACGCAAAGGAGAACCATCCCGTACCTGTACGGACGCTGCGAACGCCGTGATTCCTCCAAGGACATTGCTGAAATCGCAAAACAGAGATCGTCAATTTTGCAACTCGCACTCGGTCATGTTTCGCTTAACGTTTGTTGCTCGCGAATACGTACGAACTCTTTGGGAGCAAAATTCGAACGACAAGTGCCACGGCAATATTAACGTTTCTATTGTGGAGGCAAAATTAATTTTGAACAGTTCGTAATGTATCGACTATTTTATAATGTTTATTCGGGGCTAACAAGTCACTGATTCCGAAGATTGTTTCGTAGTATACGTGAATTGTAAGAACATTTAAAGTTCAAGCAACTAAAAACGTATATAGTGTGTACGCTGTAACTGGTGAAGTCAACTCCATAGGTATACGCGATGTCTATTTTTAGGTAATATTCCACTTTCGTGTTTCAACTACGGTGATGCACATGTACAGAAGCGAGGGGTATTTATGCCGTTTGTCGGTTTTAGAAAATCGAGCTATATATATAAGCACGGTAAGGATATTGCCACGTACTTTATTTCTAGCTGTGCGATATCGATTCTCGCGATACGCGATGATATGTCGTAGAAACGCTGAACTTCACTTCGGACTACGCACAATGTGTCATTTATAGTTAGTGTAGGGTTGTAACGTTTTAGGTAGGTTTGCGAGTGTAAAAATAAAAAACAAGCCTTTGCAATCTCCGATTGCGTCAAATATTTACGAAATACAAACATTTTAGGGTGAAGTGCTTAAGTTAATGTTCACACTCGCGAGAGTTTATATGGAATTGGATGAATACGAACGATGTCGGAAATACATTAACGCATCGATAACAGACAGGTAAAAAGGACGGAATTTGTTTGACGAAGTGGGTCAGTCGAACAAAGCAATCCAGCGTTGAGTGTCACCAAAAGTGACGCAGTAAACGTATCGAGAATTAGATGGACTGCAAATTATAGTTTCCAAGGAAAAAGGTCGTGCCACGTGGACGCCTATTATCTGTTATAACGTCGAAATATCAATGACCCATTTTCACACCACCTTGTACTATGAATTTTTCATTGCATTTCTAGAATATGTTCATAACATATAAGTATGTTGTACTTCGAATATAATATGCATTGAATAAATTCACGAAAATATTCATTAAATGCGTGTTTGTCAAAAAAAAAAAAAATTATCCAGAGTCACGTCAACATTTGTACAGAAATTATATTAAGCTAATTTTTAAATTAAAATGGTATGGAAAATATATATTTCATATACGAAATTCATTAATACTGACTTAAAATTTGTCAGAAGTTACCGTAACTTATTCATAGAAATTACCAAGTGATTATAGTACTACAACACCCGCAGTAAAATTGACTGTTATGCGAACGTGTAAACGATTGCTAAGAATGGTCGTTTGCTTTTGTTTGGGATTTGGCAAGCATTGGAATATATATTGACTTACTCGAGCAGATGCCTGGCTTGTTAAAGTTCAGTGACGTCGTCCAACAACGAAGGAGTAAAAGTCTATAAATATTCTTGGGCCGCGCGAAAAGTAGGCTATGCGAGAATGAACATACCGCAAAGGTAGGCCATCTCGACATTAGCAATAACGCGATCGATATCTGTCGTTTCTCTGTCACGTTACATGCTATTTCAGAAAGAAGAACCAATCAAACATTAACGCGCCCATTTCGCTGATACGAAATGAGGTTTTGCACCCTGGAACCAATAAGAGCGCGTACAGTGTCCGATGATAACAATCAAGTATGACACGAATCCTGAATTTCGTACGTGTACTCGATTATAGGAATCAAGGATGACACGAGTCGAGAAACTCGCACGTGTACTCGATGATAAGAATCAAGCATGACACGAGTTGAAAAATTCGCACGTGTACTCGTTAATAGTACAGGAATAGAATTCGGTTAAACTGGCGGCACGAAAAGCTGAGTTCTAGCCGAGTCCTGAGAAATGATAATAAAGTTGTCCTTGCCATTCTATATATAATTTAAAACTTTTGTTAGAAAGAAAACATTTTTCTTAGCAGTTCAGAAGACATATTCTAGCAAAAAATTGTACGTGTCCGAACAGTGACGCAAGAGAGTCGTTTAAAATAATTTTATATATCGAGTTAGAATAAGATATCTGAAATATCTTATCATAAAGTAATCACGGTATTAGTCACGAATAGGCAAAACAGATTTCACCAACAAAAATTTCGCACGCCTAAGACGTACTTAAGTGAATTTGTAGAGGATACGTGTACTAAAATATAACGATAAATAATAATGTATTAGTAATACGAGTTAAGACTTCGCTATCAAAAATTTACCATTGATTTCATCCATATTTTAATGCAACTGTCGGACACTCGGTAATTCGCACTTCGATATGCGTCACACTTCCCGGTCGACTAAAATACATATGTCTATCTGCGGTGCACAGAGTTATGTCTTTATACTCATGATTACGCCTGATAACGCCGCAGAAATCATAAAGATAATTTTTGAAATTTATCACTCGGTCGTCAAAAATAAGTACACTCAAACACATCCGCAAAGTCTATAGGGACGCTCCTTTTAGTCATCTGCCGAATGAAACATGCAATTTTAGAAAGTATTATTTAATTAACTCTTCCATTCCCGCTAAATTCACACGTAATTTATAATCTTCAAATATATGTGTACAGGTTCTAGAGCAATAAAAGGAACGCCATAGGTGAAGGTCGAAGTAGAGAGGTACGGCGAATGAATATGTATTCCTCTTCTTTCGATGAACCCAATAACGATGACTTCCCGATTCCCGATCGATGTCTAGCGATTACGTTAATTGCCTCCGTCGCAATGTGCAACCTCATTTGCGATTGCGCTGCGTTGCGCTCGCGAAAAGTTTCCGAGATATCGGGAAGTCTACATCGACGCTAACAGCTCGGGGTTTTTAGCCGTTACCGCGAAACGGAGCTGCGAGTTCCGTTCGTCCTTATCTGGCGATGTTCATTGTTCGGAGAACTCGCGTTCCACGAGGAGAGGATTCTTTCCCTAAAATCGCACGCGCTCGCAATGTCAGCGGGGAACAATGAGCGGCTCCGAGCCAGGCGTACGTGTGAAACTTCCCATCAGTAGAATGATGCGTGTGGTAGTCAGACATGTCTCCTGTCGCGCTTTATCTCCGCGATTCCCGTGCACGTTCACCGCTCGAGCCGTTATTTTCGCTGCAATACAAACTCCGCGGTGTTCTTCCGATGAAAACATAAAGCAATTGATTGTAACCTTCGCGACGTTTCACGCGAACGCGAGATAAAAGCTCTAGACTAAACCGACCGCTGATTAGGCAGCGCGTTTCCGTTCGTTTGAGTACGCAACAATAGCGGAGTTTTCTTTAGGTGGCTGCGTGATCTAACGTCACTTTAAACTCTGTTCCTAATTTTTAATCCAAACTACGAAGATCTTTTCATTTTATACACTACATATTGACAACATTGATATTTCAAAACACATTTTTGTAATATCTCCAGCTATAGTAGCTACAGTAACGAATGGCGAGTAATTTGACCTACTTGAGCGTCAAAAATTGAATCTCAAATTTTCGATGTACTATCATCGAACTGCTCTAGCCATAAGCTTCCATTATCGAAAGCATGTCACATTTTATAGCACCGTTTTACCGAGAGAGGAATCACCTGACGACGTGCTATTAATTTCGAGCGGTGCTACATCTATTTCACTGACGTAAATCGTACTTCTATATAAGTGTGACATTGACTGGTATCTTTGCTTCTGCGGAAACACGTTCGTAAATGTTAAAAAAAAAAAAAAAAACAAGATTTACTAATTAAATTACTAATTAAATTACTCTCTGAAAGGTATTTATAAAACATGACTGGTGCGGGGCTTAATCAATTCCCACTAACATGATATCCTACGCAGGAGATAATAAGTAAGGATGTACTTGAATTTGTACTGGATTTTGAGTGAACATGAAATGTAAAATGAAACATCTCGCCTCTTCATTGGCAGATAAGTGTAGGCGTTACGAGAAAAGTAAAAATTTAATCTGCGATAGCATTTGTAATGGGTTACGTGTAAATATTCACTTATCTCGATCAGTCGAGTGCTACTTATGTATATCACGATCGTGCCTATACGTGGCATTTAATGACACGTTACTCTCAGAATATTTCCAAAAGCGGATACAAATTACAAGTTGGATGAATAGTAAATCAATTCTACCGATAGACATCTAGCGCGACATCTCATCCTGATATCCACGTCCTTGATTACTTTTAATTATCGTTTAACCTCAAACTCCGCACTGTCCGAACATGTGATGGTTTACACAACTATACCCTCTGACACTAAGCAAGCATCGATATTTTCGCGATATATAGAAACCCATGGCATAAAGACGAGTACAGTTTGCCTTTACATTGAGGGAGTAGTCGAGCCTCGGAATTTTAAATATCGACCTTTGTTTAACATTGCAGTACTATAGGCTGGGAAATGAATGGCTTCAACCGTCTGAAATTGGAACAGTACTATCTTCGAAAATATAGTAACAGTTTCGTTTTAAAATCTCAGCGATACAAACAAATACTCGTACCTACTGGGATGTGTGGGAATGACAAAAATGTTAATAATCGCGTCATACATTTCGATAAACAGTATTCGTTTACCGTGCGCTCTACCGCGGTAATGTGCATTTAATCTTCGAACAATGAGAGATTTTAATGCGTGCGCGGTGTCGAATCAACAATTCTTGGTTTTTTGTTTGATTGTTTCAATGATAACGAAACAATAGCACGGAGACGCAACTCGCGTGACGGCTGATAAATCCTTGAGTAATTGCGCAACGTATTAGCACCCGCGATAGATTGAAATAAATGAAACGTATTTACTATAGCAACATCAATGGGTAAACGTGTTAAGAGTAATTTAGAACGTTGGCGCGTCAACGTAACTGACGCGCGAGTAGAGCTCGACATTTCGTACTCAAATTCTCGCTGTTCAACTTGAAACAATATTTACAAAAAGTGAAATAGGATTCATAAATTTGAT